GGAAGGGCTGTCAGCATGTTATGGGTGCTAAGAAGTGAAACAAGAAATATAAAACTGCACGGAGGACCAAGAAAGAGCTGCAAGACTGAATTCAGAAGAAAAGGAGCACAAAAAAAACCCTGTTGTTTAAGTAGTTTACTGCGAGTTCAGATGTTAACAGGTCTATGTGAAATCTATGATTGTCTGCAACATCACTAATCTAGGTATTTTGAACTATACACAAAGACAAGGCAAAGCCCTCACCTCCCTGAAGTTAATGACAAAACTTGCATGGACTAAAGCAGGGCTAAGATTTCACCCATAACAATCATATGAATAAAAGGAGCTTTTGTTACACTTTTTATGTCTACTTTTCCCTTCTTTGTTATTATTCTATTCATTGGTAGGAGGCAAAAGCAATCCTGCTGGTATTCAGAAACATTATTTACAATTTCTGTACCAAGAGAAAGAGTAGGTCAGATTGTGGTAAATGTTTCAATTGATTTAGCCTGTTTTTCTACTTGCACAAGCTTCTTCAATAGTATTAATCATTCATGAGAGATTGCTAAACTCTTCTGAGGAACCATTTTCTAAGGATAGCTTATTTTCAACTACCTGCTTAGGTGCTGAACTTCTATCATGCAGCTGATTGTCTAAGCCCTCCAGTAATAGGATTCGTTACTGGTTAGAAGTTTAAACAGCATATTGTTGAGTACCAAGTGGATACTAATAAATAACTTATTTTCAGCCAACTAAAAAACATTCAGCTTTTTAGACCAGTGAACAAATTCATGGGTGCGCAGGAACTGTCTGAATATTCACAAAGAATGGCTAAGCCTCAACAAATAAAGCAACGTACATTTGGCATTTTCATTTGTAAAAGTATTTCTGAACCCACATTTGTTTGTTTGTACTTTTGCTACCATTTGCCAGCTCTATAAACAAAAGATGTTTCCCAGTGCTAACACTCAACTCATTTTACTGTTTGCATTTCAATAGTACCTAAAAACCCCCAACACAGACCATAAGCTAATACACTGCCCCCAAAAACTGAGTGTTCGCTCACCACCCTGGTAGATTTGTTAGTCTTCAGACTTTTTTAATATAATATCTAATTTATGCAAAAGAATGTACATAAGCATTCACTAAATAGACATATAGCATTCAATCAGTCATAATTACTGGGTTTTTTAACTGCAGAAATCGGGGCCTACGTTTGTAAATTACCAAATCATATTAAATACCAAAAATGTGAATGAGGTGATTATTTTTTCAGTCTTCCTAAAGGGAAAAAAGTTTCCTTTAAAAAAATGAAAACCAGCCTTCTGATCTGAAGATAAGGCTGCTTCTCTCTTTAATAAACACAATAAAATGGTGCAGACATTTTTATTCCCTATAAAAATACTTTACAGTAGAATTTTATACTTAATTTATTTGTAATAGCTTACTGTTTTGCTCTTCCTTCTGGCTCTAAACTTTATGGCAGGTTTCATTTTGTAATTATAATTCTCCACTTTACATTACAAGTAAATCATTTAGAGCAGTTAATTTTACTGATGTTTTCATTATATAAGAAGTCAGAAACAAACACATTATTTTAATTACTCTTTAAGCACTTGGCATCTTCAGCACATCGGTATGAAAGTAAGTTGTCGGATGGGCGCCCACACTATTTTATTTATTGATGTGATTTTTCCCTTGTATGTAGCTGTAGTATAACTAACGAAACAGTATGTGTTGTACAGATACAGGCTTGGTATTTTCAACAGCTATTTACATCAATAAGCAAGTGCACAATGCAAACAAACATTAAGATTGCAGAAAGTACCATCCTTACAGCATCTCTTATTTTATTACCACTGCTTGTTGTTGATTTCTCTTTTTAATACGTAAGTACTGTGTATTAAAGTTATGCTAGTGGAGTGATCTTTCTCCCATCCTTTAACAAAGTACTTACACCTTCCAAATGGACTGATTTTGTGTCACTACAGTATTATTATTAGAAAGGCAGCAAAACAGTGCTCTTTGAATTCTTTTTGACTGGTCCATCAAATACCACATCGACAAGGCAATAACAATTCAGAAGGCTGTGCTAGAACAATAACAAAACTATAATACTTACATTTGCACATGTGGGGGCTGAAAACGTCCCTGGTTAATGTTGTAGAACGTGAAAGCCTGTGTGGGGTTGGAGCTGTACTCATCCACTTCAATTATGAGTCTACTGTGCTGATGCCTTCTAGCTGCCATAATGTGCGACTGGGCGAAAGCCATGCTTGCACTACGTAGTTCGGCTTTTTCAGGCGATCATATCTGCTATCTTCCTACATCGATGGAAGAAGACCATGACATCTCCTTAACTAATCAGCACATTCCCCTTTGAAAAACCTAAAAGCAGATTGAAGAGATGGAGCATAACTGTTTGACAGTTAATTTGTTTGGAATTTGCTTTATTTAATATGAGATGGAGATGAAGATGAAGGGGGGATACGGAGGGACAAAGACACACAGCTCAAAGAACTCATCACAAACCTTTCCAACTCAGCAATTTGATGAACGTACTTTAGTTGGGGGTGGAAAGCAGGGAGTGGAAGTAAACTTGCTAAAGAACACAGGGGCAACTTGCTCAAGTATTTCAGACATTTAATACAAATCTAAAAGACAAGGCAGACATTCTTCAGAATGGCGCGTCACATAATAGTGTTTCTTCAACATAATCATTTACTTTCCCCTCTTTTTTTATTGCATTGCTGAATGCTTATTCCCCATCCTCCTTCAAAAAAACCCCACCAAACCTGAAATTGAATAAACGGTTGTACACGACCAAAATGTGGGTTAATTAAACAAGAATCAGTTTAACCAATTCTTCAGAAAGTCTGTGCCATTTATTACGGGGAAGCATTGCAAGTGGTTGTTCCTTACATCCCAAGGAAAAGAGCAAACGGCCTTCTGTGCACTTGCTCCTGGTTTTATAGTATCACTGAAGGAACTCCTGACACAGATATGAAGGGCTCCCCCCTTCAAACACATTCTCTTCTCAGCCAGCACTAGCCCAACGTTCGGGATTCACTGGAAAAGAAAGTGATTGAAAGGCTAACACACAGTTAAATGTTATTAAATATTAAAAAAGTAAAATCCATACAGGTTTTATGTTTGGGAATAAATTTTTCCCTGAAGGTTATGCAAGTCTAGAACAGCAGCACTGAAAATGGGCAGAAGAACAGCAAAGTGAAACCAACTGGAATGCAAAGAGTATCCCCTAGAAACAACAGAAAGTAATTTAAATGTGAATTTTACTTTTATTTCCCAGTTTTAATAAAAAATGGATTATAAGCTATAAAGGTGGGTATTTTTACAGTATAATTCTGCATCCTTTTTAGAAGTTGTCTGTCTTAAATATTTACTTTCATGCAAGCGAGGGCTCTTTTCTTCTAGGGAATATAAGTAATCTGCTTCAGAAGATGTATTCCATGAAAAGCCATGCTAGAATGCAGCAATTCATATGTGCAGTTTCTGGAAAGCAGGACTAGAAGTATTTTGTGACCTTGCTGATGTGCCTTACTTCCATTCTGAAGGGACCACTGCCAAGAGTGATGGATGAGGGAGGTCTTCATAGTCACTCAAATTTTTAAAGCTATTTACAGGTACTTCGGTCCAATTCAGTTCTAGTGGCAGTCAAACACCTAAACATCTTTAAAAATCTGGGCTTCAGTCCTTTGCTTAACTACTACAGATGTTAAGTGCTCCAAGAAGCTGCGGTGTATTTTTGTTTTGGGAAATCTTGTCCTTAGGAAACTGAAATGAGAGATTCAGCTCAGTTTTGTTACTTGCTGAATGGCTGTAAAATGATGACAACTTGCTGTCACTAACAACCCGCAGGAAAACAGTCTGAGAATAAAAGAGCAGATTCCTTCACGCCCTCCCCTAGAATTGAGTGGTAAGGAAATGGTAGAATAACAACAAAGAAAATTTTGGATTTAAAACACTCTCAGATGCCACGTTCAGGCTACGGAACAAGCAGCGGCACAAAGGAATGTGCCAGAGCAGGGGGAGGGAAGGGAGGTACGATCCTTGTAAGAATAATCAAGTACAAATTGCTGCATTTAGGAAATAAGAAATTATGATGGCAGATGTGAAGAACCCTCCCTGAGGAGCTTCCTGTATTAAATGATGCATTTGTAAAGAAGTTTGAATAGGCAAGGTCAGAGATTTTATAGGGGGCAAACTGTTCTAAGTGAACCTACTTCTGTTTGAAAGAAGCTATTAGAACTGGTGACCTCTACAAATATTCTCCAGTAAGATTAATAATTTATGATTTCACAGGTCTACATAAGGATTTCAAACTACCTGAAAAACACAGCTTTTGTTTTATGATTCAGGGGTTATGCCCACTTTACACACAACTGAACTGCAGTTACAAAGGAGTTAAGGCACTGCCTTAGGGACCTAGAATCTCCCTTTGGCCTTAGTAAGTTCTCAGGAGCTCACAGCCTTCTGTCAGTCTCCTCTTTGGGTCCTATCTTTTATGACTTCTCTCAAGTTATACATCAAATCTGCTGCAGAAACAGCAGATGTATGCAGGTACCCCAATATCCACTCTTAAGCTCTGCTTCCCCTTTCTGGGTAAGTGGAAAATAGCACTTACCAACACAAACTAACTCAAAAGCAAAAATTTGTTTGCAAACAGAAACAAATCACAGCCAGCACACCGCTGATATACCCTTTAGTGCTGAAGAGTTCTTTTAAGCAGGGAATCAATCCTTGCACATGGGAGAGTGTATGAATCACACCATTAGGCTAGCTCGAGAGGATGCTAGCCACAGACGTTCAGCAAGAAGTTCACCATCTAAACATGTAGAAAATGGGAAGACAACGTATTTCACTGGAGGTAAGGGAAAAAAAAGGAAAAAAAAAAGATATGCCACAGCACTGCTAAGCCTTCTGCCAAATGACAGTCACCCAATATCCACCCTGGACACATAAAAAGCATCCAAGACTGGAGGAAAAAAAGAAAGAGCCAGATCCTGCAATGAAAATAAAATAACTGGCAATCATATGAATAGCCTGTGCTAAACAAAAATCAGATATGTAACACACATAATCAGTAGGCATAATTCAATAGCAAGCTTAATTCAAGCTCATTTCAGAAACATACACAGATGTCTTTGAACCTTACCTTTCAGTCTAGGGTTTTCTTCCTGCATAAGTGGTTGGCTGACTACTAACATTCTTGGTGTTCGACAGAACAAGCTGTCTCTTTCCAGCTTGACTGATAACCAGACTGACACCCATTACTCCCCTCTTTCTGCTTCCATTTCCAATCGTCCCCCAAATCGTAACTTTTTCTTTCTTTTAATATTCTGAAATTTCTTCCTTTCCCAAACTAGAGTATAAAATGCAGCAGGGAAATAATTATCTGCTTCTATAGCATGCAAGTTTTAAAATTATATGCCCAGCATTACCAACACAGAGCATTAAGACTCAGATCCCCACAGCAACAACATGCTAACCATCCTCTTCCCCCAGACTTATGGAGCTGCGGGATGTCTGCCAGGGAAAAACAGAGAAATGTAAAAAGGACTGCAAGAACATGAATACTAAAATAAATATCACAAACCTGGCTGTTAGAATCACAGACTGAGAAAAAGCTATTAAATCAGCTAAGCCATCTTCTTACTGATGGCAGGAATGTTCTCCATACATTATTTTTCTGCTGCTTTCTACAGCATGTGTTCAAATGTTCACCGAGCTCTGACCCAAAGCCCACTGCGTACAATGGACACTGCTCCATCGTCTTCAGAAGATGCATCAGGCCATAAACTATGTGGATTGCAACATCTCTCCTGAGGAAATGCTGGACTAGGCAGGTGCTTGAACCCAGACGTGTATTTAAGTCCTTTGATGAGGTCCTCAAATAAATCTTTGTATTAGGATTTTTTTACTTTTTCAGCCTGAAATTTCTGGTATTTTCATCTCAGAGCCTTCTTGTTTAGCTGGCATAATTACTTCCCTCTTTTACATGAATTTTCCAGCCTATTTATGCATCCTATTTCTCTTTTTTTCCATTTCAAGCCAACATTTTATTTTAACCTCACTTCTACGCTCACAGATTCTGCTTTATTCTATGTTCATCCTTCAGTTCACTCTCATGTCCGCTGTCTCTCGCCGTATCTCATTCCATCGTCCCCACTGTTGCCTCCATCATCTACCCTTTGTCTCAAGCCTAAAAATAACACTGAGACTTCTTGAAAATTATTTCAGCAACACAAAATATGAATCTAGACCTGAAAACAACATGGCTCAAGCAGATGTCACTGAAATAAGAATTAGAAACCAAGATAAAATACTGGTGATGATTATGATAATGAAAAAGAAATTATAAATTAAGAGAGAAAACTGTGAAGGAGTTATCTGTTGAGCAATGAACTTTGCTAAGCTACAAAAAATCCGGAGGTCAAGAAGCACAACATGGCTACAGCATATCCCAGCAAGAGTTGAAGAGAGGCAGTTGCCAGATTTTGCACTAACAGTGAGATAACATAAAGAAAGAAGAGGATGCTGGGACTCTCAGCAGTACCAAGATCAGTGGCAAAGAGGTAGCTACAGAAAACATGTTAGTTTTGTTCAGAGTCTGACAAGCTGGGATTTGGGGAGGCAATGAAGAAACAAAATGTAGTATCACAAAAAAAAAAAAAAAAGCATTTTCATGCAGCTATAAAACATCAAAGCCATATTTTTTCAGGGAAAGCCAGTAAGACAACAGCAGTAAAATACCTTAAAGAAGCACGTGAGAGTTTGTGATAGACCACATAGTGACACGCTTGCTTCTTGTGCAAATCTTGGATGCTGTTAACCAGAAACCCTTCCAAGAGCTTCATCAAGGGTTCAGGACTTCCCCTATACTGCACTACAGTGCTCTTCTTAACTGTCAGGTCATCTTTTACACAGGGAAGTAGACCCTTTATTTAAACCCAAAAAAAGCACTACAGAATGTTCTGCAGCAATGGTCCCAATTGTCATAGTAACATTCCTATAACCACTAGTCATTGGCTTCATTATCACAAATTACTATTTCTCTTTTACCCCCCCGCCCAAAAAGCTTGTTATAGACTGACCAGCAATAAGCAAACATACTGGAATCAGTAAAGCAATCACTTACTATGAGAAATAGGCTGAAAATGCTAAAGGTTTTTTGCTGTCTAAAATACCCATTTCAGATACTCCAGATAGAAGCCAATCAATGGACTTAGTCTGCTATCTATCTTCAGTTCTGCCATCGGGAAATGAACACTGAAATAATCCTAAAAAGGCATTATTCTGTGGGAAAGCATGAGCCAGGCAATTCACTCTGCAGATGGAAGCTTTTCCAAAGGGATACACTCTCCTCT